TTCAATGAAGGTCAGTGTGTGTGTGTGTGTGTGTGAGATGATCCTGTCCCACTGCAGTGGAAATGGCACCATAAGAAGGTCAAGCAGAGAAATAGGTGTGTGTGTGTGTGTGTTAGGGGAAGAGTCTGTGGTTGGAAAGTTACATGCACATGCTGTGAACCACAGCGGACAAACAGAGAGGTGTGTGTGTGTGTGTGTGTGAGAGAATGTGAGTAGCACCTAATTCAGTCGCATCTTCACACACACACACACACACTCTTTAACTTCCCCTGATTTCACAAACACAGAGGTGAGAATTCTTCAAATTATTTTTTAAAAAGATTTAGAAAAAACTGCTCACAAAGGACAAAACGATAAGATAAGCATTACTGTTGATCATACTGTTGTGCACAGCAACAGCCTAGCAACCACCTAAAAACCCTGATAACACGTAACACATAACAGTCCATATTCATGGACTTCACAATCTGTTGAAAGGTAAACTCAGACCGCATTTTCATTTTTAGGCACCTGTTGTGAACCAATCATTGTTCAAACCGCTAACGAAGAAATCAACAATGGTTTTTTTACGCACTATAAGGCAAAAGATGCAGTACGTTTGATGAATCTGTGGGTCCTGCTAACGTTCCTCTTTAAAACTGAAAGGCTGAAGGCAATGAAAAGGTGCTTTTGTTGTTGTTGGAGAGAGAGAGAGACAATAGTCCAGTCGGCTGTGTGTCGCAGAGGTTTGTATGGATCGTCTTTGCGCGCTCGACCTTTTGGCTGTGGAAAGCAGCCTTCACTGAAGTCATTGTCAGTAATGCGGTTATTAGAGTGGGTGTTTGACTGACACTGCATGAACGCATGAACACGTACAGGAATAGTTTACCAAATATGGAAATTATGTCATCATTTATCCAAACTAACTAAATTGAAATGGAATATGATATAAAACGTAGCTCTTAAATCTCAGTAACATTCAATCAAGGAGTATCAGAACGTGTTGCAACAGATTTAGTGACGTGTCTTGATGGTTGTTATTATCAACATTCAATGCTATTGTATCGTATTGTCTTGTGTTATAATCAGTGCTGGGTAGTAACTGATTACAAATTACAGATTACAAAATTAGGTACTTGTAATTAGAGACTATTACATTTTAAAATTCTCATAATCGGATTACAGTTACTTTTTCATAGATTACATGATTACATACTGTAATGTCATTGCCGTTTTATTGTTGTTCAGGTAACGCAGGGACTCCCAAACGTTTTTGCCAGCTAAACCCCTTTGTTATAAAATGAAACTCTCTGACACAACAACACATTTGCATGTTGACAGTTCTCTGATGTTGTTCAATAGTCACATTGACATGCAGGTACACAAATAAAATAAATGTTCACATTTTTAAATTATTTTATTTTACAATTTTATGATTTAATTATTAACTCACAAACACACACCCAAAAGTCTAAAAAAGTAGTCCGAAAACATGAGTAGCCTAACCTAGATTTCGATACTAACTACAATTTTCATCATGTAATCTGTAATCAGTATTGGATTACATTTGCAAGTAATCTAAAGCATAAACTCCTTTCATAATGCTTTTTGATCTTGACTGCCCCATTCACTCAAATATAGCAGGGAAGATTTATTGTAAACCATTTCTTTAATGTTTCGACATCACATTCCCAATAAGAACTAAGCCTCAGAAAGTGACAAGTTTGTTGAAGTTATGCAGTACCTTTCTCTCAATGATTTCGGCTGCGAGATGCTTCGCCTCTTGGAAGCTGAGGTGTCTCTCAGGGATCTGTACTTCCTCTTTGAGGAGCCCGATCTGAAAGTGGACACGTATGGGCCCCTGTGTGGAGGACTTGGGCCCTATGGACAGCAGAGAGAAAGCGGCTGAGAGAGAGAGAAGAGTTAACTCAGATCAAACGGCGCTCCTTTAGACGTTTACAGGTTCACCACAGCTTACCTGCACCTGTCTCGGTGTTCCTTGAAGCATTTTATAGCGATACTGCAATCATTTTTCCACTAATTGTTTATTGTTATGTACATATCATCATCAGAAAGTCTTTAAAAGCTTTTGGTGTTTGAAGGAAAGGCCCCCAAAGGGTCCTTCAAGTGCAAGGCAACAACTGAAACTAGCATTAACCTGCCTAAGATTAACATTAAGATTAAAGCTTAATATAGTCAAGCTCTAAAAGAGGAACTTACCAGAGACATGACTGCTGAAGTCAACGCTTTTTGGGCGGTGGTTTGAGTTGGCTGCCATTTTCTTCACTTTGGTGAGTTGGAACTAGCACATTTCGCAGCCCCGTTTCAGACACTTCTGCCGCTGCTCTGGTTTCCTTGTGCGAGAGCTTCAGCAGACGAACGGCAGGCAGCTGAGACAGGAAGTTGACACTCAAACTTCAGTGTTTCTGTGTGTGACATGAGTGGGTCTGACGAGCTGCCCACCAAACGCAGACGTTATCTGATGAACTTTAAAACTGTAGGAAACTCAAGGCAAATATGGCAGCACTGGGGTCAATATCACTATCATTTTATGTTGGGCATAAACATAACATTAACATAAACGTGCTACAGAGATACAACCCTACACTCTGATATTTTAAAAAAACTAAACAAAACAACTAAAGAACTAATAACTTTTGAACAATTAGGGAGTTTTCTTTTCTGGATGGACAGATAGACGGAATGATAGACAGATGGATGGATAACAATAGACAGACAGACAGATAGATCAAATAAATAGATAGAACGATGGAACAATAAGACAGACAGAAAGATTGACAGAGAACGAAAGATAGATCGATAGGCCGAACAACAGATAGATAGAACGATAGATAGATAGCTATATAGATAGACAGAACGATAGATAGAGATAGAACGATAGATAGGCAGAACAATAGATAGAGAGATAGAATGATAGATAGATAGATAGGTCGATAGGCCGAACAACAGATAGATAGAACGATAGATAGATAGATAGATATACAGAACGATAGAGATAGAACGATAGATAGGCAGAACGATAGATAGATAGATAGATAGAATAGAACAAGAGATAGAGAGATAGAACGATAGATAGATAGATAGATAGATAGATAGATAGAATAGAGAGATAGAACGATAGATAGATAGATAGATAGAATAGAACAAGAGATAGAGAGATAGAACGATAGATAGATAGATAGATAGAATAGAACAAGAGATAGAGAGATAGAACGATAGATAGATAGATAGATAGATAGATAGATAGATAGATATATAGATAGGCAGAATGACAGATAGATAGATAGATAGATAGATAGATAGATAGATAGATAGATAGATAGATAGATAGATAGATAGATAGACTGAACAAAATTATAAACGCGACACTTTTGTTTTTGCCCAGTTCTTGCATGGCCAGCATACTCACCGGACATGTCACCCATTGAGCAACTTTCCAACTTTCCACAGGCCACAATCAACAACCTGAGCAACTCTATGCGAAGGAGATGTGTTGCACTGCGTGAGGCAAATGGTGGTCACACCAGATACTGACTGGTTTTCGGACCCCCCAATACAGTAAAACTGCACATTTTAGAGTGGCCTTTTATTGTGGCCAGCCTAAGGCATACCTGTGCAATATTCATGCTGTCTAATCAGCATCTTGATATGCCACACCTGTGAGGTGGATGGATAATCTCGGCAAAGGAGAAGTGCTCACTAACACAGATTTAGACAGATTTGTGAACAATATTTGAGAGAAATAGGCCTTTTGTGTACATAGATAAAGTCTTAGATCTTTGAGTTCAGCTCATGAAAAATGGGGGCAAACTTTTGTTTGGTGTAGATAGATGTTGTATGGTTATCAAGCCCTTATAATAATGACACAAACAAACATTAATTTGGTTTGAAAAGCAGAGTTTATTTCGAACCTTTTATTAAAACATACAGGAGGTTGGCCCCGTTCACAAGTGAAATGCATCTCTGAGGAAGGACTACATTCTGCAGAGCTGCTGCTAGACGTGTTCCCTCACAGCTGATCTGTGGACGACGGGCTGCTTCTAACAACGCTACGCTTTCTGAGCGGGACAGGGGGTGCTGTTCTGGGATCAGTGCAGAAGGGCAGCACAATCTAACCGCTGAGAGACGCACGTTAATAATGGTCACGTGGCGAGAGGAAGGCATCAGAAAACATGACAAACAAGACAGCCACAGGGTCACATTCATAAGTGGTGTAAACATGGCATTATTACAAACTACACACATGTCTGTGCTAGCATGAGGAGGATACACAAGTGTGTGTGTGTTTGTGGTCGTGAGCGAGTCAAAAATTCAGTATTTTACAATCATTCGTATCTATCGCTCCGATTCTGGATTTTTCTTCTCTCATCACTCGAGCACTTTCTAGAACCCTTATTTTTGTTCAGCTCATCGAAACGTAATCATTAGCATGTAACTTTTTGCAATACATTCTGTTTGAGAAAATCTCACAAACCATGTCAATTGTCATATTTCACCGCAAAGTAAACAATTACAAAATTGGAGAAATATATAGATTTAAGAATATTTTAAGGAAAATTGAGCATAAGACCAACAAGACGTTTAGCATTGTGACATTAATTACAACTAAGCACATTTAATCCCCTAAATTCTCAATAATGTAATACTGTAACTTACAAAATTACTGCACAATGTCAAATAAATTACATTTCAATGATGAATTATTAATTGTAATAGTATTTGTTGCACTCCTTATTTTGGGGTTTTTAATGTATAGCTATAGAGAGGGGCATATATGTACACATATACATATACACTGTAAATATTTTTTGTTTTTGTAATTAGAAATTGGAGGGAAAATGTGCTTAGCTAATGAAAAGTAAATGTTACAATACAAAGAACAACAACAACAAAAAATGTCTTTATGGAAAATGTGATTGCATATGATTTGAGGTGAAATAAGACGCATTTATTTATGAGATTCGCCCATTTGTATGGCTGGTTCCCAAAGCTAGTGTTGCCTGCACATACAGAGATCACTCGCCTCCGATGAACACAAGAAAAATCATTCAAATAAACCAAAAATCAAACACACACATCCTTAATCAATGCAAACAAATCACATGAAGGTGCAAACGTTTACATACAAGTACACCAAGACATTTATTGATCCTGTTAGGATTCGCAATTTATTAACATGAAAAGATAAAACAAAAATGAGAGAATTTGTCCGTTTTAGCCACATCCTTATATTCTAGTGGCTGGAAAATCATATAAAATGAAAAACACGTCACATTTTAAACTGATGGAAAATTCCAGTTATACAAGGTTTGGCGTTTTCCACCGACTCATCCGATTTTTTTTTCGGAGTTTGACTTGCAATCAGATAAAATGACTGAGCGTTTGAATTCTGAATCTAGATTGGCTAATAAATAAGAGCTTCATATCAGCTTTAAATCGTAAAGGAGAAATCCTTCATTGCAGCGTTCAACGCGATTTCCAGTCGCTCCAGGACAGACATCCAGCTACAGTGTAAACGAAATACTTGTGCGCTAATTTTGCAAAACGAAAAGACCTTAAATAATTTAAATCATTATATACACATCAAACTCAGACGGCAAACGTGAGGTCGTACCAGTCAGTGCTCTCGAATTTCAACTCCTCCTCTAACGCTCAAATTTTTCGTAAGTGCATTCGCAGGAGTTTTTCGCACCGTTTCAACTTAGCGAGGTCGTTTTGTGGAAGTTGTTAGCATCTACTATATATGAACTTTATGTTTTCTAAATGGCAAACGTCTGCTTTGATGACTTGATCGTTGTATGCTAAACTACGCGGTTTTGACGCCATGCGATAATGCCGTTTCACCACTGGATGTCTGTGGTCTAGTAGGTGATAGCGTGCTACATTGCGTTTGATCTCGCTAATGGCAAAGTAGAGAGACGAAGGCCAGATTTTGCAAGCGATGTGAAACTAAAAGACATGTTTTTGCTTTTAAGATTTTTTCTTAGGGAAACGTTTGGAATGAGGATCATTTGATGATATTTTCGATTCAAGTAGGTAGCAAACATCCTCTCCATTTGGTTCCTTTTCCACGTCCAGACGTCGTTTCTAACTGATCAGAGAGCTGCGTCTGGTCAGGTCCACATTACTAGCGCTCAGACCTCTGGATTCTGACAGACCGCTGTTAGACTCCTGAAGACATACAAACACACAAAAGTTTGATCATGCAGCAATACTGTGGAAATACACAATTTTAAACACCGCATGAAAGTTTACTGCAAACAAGATTTAAAAGCATCTTAATGCTTAATGTTCTTAATCTTACTGTGAAAAATTCATTTGTGCATGTCATTCTAAATCTCAATGTTTTAAAGTAAATCAATTTGATCAAAAATACAGTAAAATTGTGAAATATTATTACAATTCAAAATAGCTGTTTTCTATGTGAATATATTTTAAAAATATAATTTATTTCTGTGATCAAAGCTGTATTTTCAGCATCATTACGCCAGTCTTCAGTGTCACATGATCCTTCAGAAATCATTCTAATATGCTGATTGGCTGCTCAAGAAACAGTACGTGTGACCCTGGAGCACAAAAGCAGTCTTAAGTCGCTGGGGTATATTTGTAGCAATAGCCAAAAAAACACTATGGTCAAAATTATCGATTTTTCATTTATGCCAAAAAATCATTAGGATATTAAATAAAGATCATGTTCCATGAAGATATTTAGTACATTTCCTACCGTAAATATATCAAAACTTAATTTTTGATTAGTAATATGCATTGCTAAGAACTTCATTTGGACAACTTTAAAGACGATTTTCTCAATATTTAGATTTTTTTGCACCCTCAGATTCCAAAAATGGACCCTTATGACTGGTTTTGTGGTCCAGGGTCACATATTATTATACACACCTGTGAGGTTTCTTCTGCGCTCTTGTTGAGGAAATTTAAGGAGCTCGCCCTCTTCATCCTTTTGAACCAAACAACATCAGCAGTTAGAGCATCATGTCTAATGCTTGATTTGTTCTTTGGAGAAGTGCTCGAGTCTCACCCGGGGTTGCGTGGCTCCTGAGGGCCGCTGCCCTGCAGCTTCTTCACCAGCATCTCACTGCTGCGCCGCAGCGCTTCACGAATCTTCCCGAACGAGCCGCTCCTGCGCAGGGCGCCGTTACCATCCTGTGCCCACAATATATGATCAACCTCAAGATTTATACACGCACTACAAGATAAATAATAATAATAAAAAAAATATCTTATGCTCACAAAGGCTACATTTATTTGATCAAAAAAGACCATGTTAAAATTCACTTCAAAATCGATTCAAAATAAGCATAAAATGAAAAGCTTAATCTTACTGGGATTTGTACAGGATATTCTAAATCTCATTATTTTAAAGTAAATATATTTGATCAAAAATACAGTAAAAACCGTAAAAAGTTTTAATATTATTACAAATTAAAAAAAAATTCAGTTTTCTATTTGAAATTGTTGTAAAATGTAATTTATTGCTGTGATCAAAGCTGAATTTTCAGCATCATTACTCCAGTCTTCAGTGTCACATGATCTTTTTGATCAAAAATACAGTAAAATTGTGAAATATTATTACAATTCAAAATAGCTGTTTTCTATGTGAATATATTTTAAAAATATAATTTATTTCTGTGATCAAAGCTGTATTTTCAGCATCATTACGCCAGTCTTCAGTGTCACATGATCCTTCAGAAATCATTCTAATATGCTGATTGGCTGCTCAAGAAACAGTACGTGTGACCCTGGAGCACAAAAGCAGTCTTAAGTCGCTGGGGTATATTTGTAGCAATAGCCAAAAAAACACTATGGTCAAAATTATCGATTTTTCATTTATGCCAAAAAATCATTAGGATATTAAATAAAGATCATGTTCCATGAAGATATTTAGTACATTTCCTACCGTAAATATATCAAAACTTAATTTTTGATTAGTAATATGCATTGCTAAGAACTTCATTTGGACAACTTTAAAGACGATTTTCTCAATATTTAGATTTTTTTGCACCCTCAGATTCCAAAAATGGACCCTTATGACTGGTTTTGTGGTCCAGGGTCACATATTATTATACACACCTGTGAGGTTTCTTCTGCGCTCTTGTTGAGGAAATTTAAGGAGCTCGCCCTCTTCATCCTTTTGAACCAAACAACATCAGCAGTTAGAGCATCATGTCTAATGCTTGATTTGTTCTTTGGAGAAGTGCTCGAGTCTCACCCGGGGTTGCGTGGCTCCTGAGGGCCGCTGCCCTGCAGCTTCTTCACCAGCATCTCACTGCTGCGCCGCAGCGCTTCACGAATCTTCCCGAACGAGCCGCTCCTGCGCAGGCCGCCGTTACCATCCTGCGCCCACAATATATGATCAACTTCAAGATGTATATTTAAACGCACAATACCAGTCAAAAATTATGAATACATTTTTTTTATTTTTTTATATGATGTCTTTGAAGTCTCTTCTGGAACGGTAGAGTATCACAGCTTTTCAACATTGATGATAATCAGAAATGTTTCTCGAGCAGCAAATCAGCATATTAGAATGATTTCTGAAGATCATGTGACACTGAAGACTGTAGTAATGATGCTGGAAATTCAGCGCAGCATCACAGAAATAAATTACATTCTAAAATATATTCACATAGAAAACGGCTCTTTTGAATTGTAATAATATTTCACAATTTTTCTGTATTTTTAATTAAATAAATGGAGCCTTGGTGAGCTTTATAGAATTATTTCAAAAACATTACACACTATTTGCATAAAAGATTGGAACAAAAAACAATGGCTCCGCGGGCTGCACTGACCCCGTTCCACTCGGCTTCGTCTCCATCACAGTCTCCTCGGGGGCCTCCGGGGCCGTTTACTCCGTCCCGACTCTGACGTCTGTCTCCTCCAGCACAACCTCCGTCCTTCAGCAGCTCCACCACCTTACTCTGATTAATGGCATCGATGCCCTGACAGACACAAAGAGCTTTCACGTCACTATGTTATTTTCTAGAGTTGCCAGTCAATCCAAATAATGAATGAAAGGTACAACAAGTAGAGTAGAGAAGTCAGTGAGGTTTTCTTAACAGCGTTCTCTTCCTGTACGAGTCATCTGCACAGGAAGTCAAACTCAGGTTTTGTAGGTCGAGCATCAGGTGGGAAATCCGTACCTGTTTACGGGTTTTCGTCGTACACTCCTCCAACGTCTCGGCAGCCTCCAGTTTGCCCTGCCGGCGGTACAGCGCGCCCAGACTCTTCAGCGTGGTGTTAACAGTGGGGCTGCTCGAGAGAAACGTCCAGAAAATCACTCCAAAACACTGAGTCCTCCACACTCTGATACCCATAATCCTCTGAGGGACTCACCTGTCCACTTTGCAGGCTTTGTACCAGCTGCCGTATTCACCGTACGGACCCGAGTCCTTCCTCTTACCCTGGAAATAAGCATCAGACAAACTCAAATCATTTCATACTGAACACACAGATTCAAATATAATGAAATGAGAGCATTAAAAATGATAATAATAATAATATAAGAGAATCAGGCTGAATTGTTGTATTGAAGAATACAATTTAATATATATTTCTGTTTAGTACTTGTTTGTTGTTGTAAACCAGAAATGTCATAAAGCTTAAATATAATCAATATAGATATGTGTATTAATATATACATCATATTTAATACATGATTTTTTTTAATGTGCTTGAAAATAATATTTTTTGCTCACTAAGGCTGCATTTATTTGCTCAAAAATAAACTAAACTTAATTTTTTAACTAAATTTAAAATAACTGGTTTCTAATTTGAATATGTTGTCAAATTTAATTTATTCCTGTTATGAAAAAAGAAAAGATCAATTTAATGCATCCGTGCTAAAAGTACAACTTTCTGAAATAAAAAAAAATGTTTATATATATATATATATATACACACATACACACACACACACGTTTTTACATTTAAATACATTCATACAAATATTTACATTTAAATAAATTCACGTAAATATATAATTTAAAGCCTATAATACCTTGCTTTCTTCTCTTTCCTCTGCATGCATCCAGATTGGTTTGTTATCATCTGAGGAGTACAAAAATTATTTTATTTTTTTTGTTTTAAAAAAGGCATTTTGTTGTGATTAATTCAATATTGTTATTTTGTTCTAACAACTTTCCCTGCATGGCATCAGATAGCAGACTAGTGGCTAGTCTTCTTTTAACCATAACTAGCTTGTTGAAGCTTTCAGGAAGAGCAGGCGGATGTTTGAGCGTAATCCTGTAAGCGTCTGATTGGCTTAAAAGGCTGTGATGTCACAATAGACGGATTAGAGACAAAACCTCTGAAATATCAAACATCTCACCACGTCGTCCTGACAAAAACCGATCATGAATTACAATTAAAAATGAGTCCATTCTTAGAAAAACACATGATTTACATTTGAAAAAAAAGTTCATGCAAGTCACATAAAATGAAGATGCATATATGAATATATGGTTTGTGTGATGCTAAATACATACTGTTGACAGATCCGAACTCTTTCTCATGCGCGCGGGTCAGGATCTCCTTGTAAAGCGTCTCTGCGTCTTTGAACTTGCCCTGTTTCAGGTAACACGTGGCCTGTGGAGGAAACACAATCACGATCAACGAGCTTCAGACAGAACAATGCTCTCGACTTTTCCGATCCAAAGCCAGAGGGCTTGTTCTTGGTCACTGCGTCCGCACTTTCTCCAGATCTTGATCTTTACTGACCTTCAGTATTTACTTTCACAGATAAACACGAGAGCAGGAGACATTCAGGACGTGATATATTAGAAGCAAATTTGATTCAGAAAGTTTAATTCTGTTTATTTGCTCTCAAAAAGCTCAGTGATTCTCTTCTTTACATGCTGTTTGCACTGTGTTCGTTTGGACTGAAGCGTTTGTGAGAATACAAAATCACGTTGTAATGGCAGGATAATTGTATTCGTGTGCTCAAAAGACATGACTGTGATACAATACTCAGCGCTGCAACCTTTGGTGCAATGCGATTAGATCTAAAAACAATGAATCGGCACATTTCATGATTAGCTAATCATGCCAGGTCCACATGTAATACTTATTTCATATGCGAAGATGTTAGCCAATCACAGCAGTGGGTGTTCACATTAAATCTTCAGAGAGACACGCCCCTTTAAGCAGTTGGGCTAAAATAAGGGCGGAAAACTGCCACGCATATTATTCGTGAATTATAACAAAATAAATATTTTAAAAAACAATGGGTAAAAATATGACCATTTCAGATTAAATTTAAGAAATTTAAATATAAAAATATACAGGTAAGAGGAAATTGAGATAAGATATATTTTACATTTTCAAAATAAGATATATTTATTGCTTGTTTATTGAACTGTTGTGCCATACTGCTTAATTATTAATATAAGTACATATAGACAATATAAATAATACTTACTAAATATACAGTGGGTACGGAAAGTATTCAGACCCCCTTAAATTTTTCACTCTTTGTTATATTGCAGCCATTTGCTAAAATCATTTAAGTTCATAATATAAACAAAAAAAAATAAAAGTCTAAAATCAGGATAGAAAATGTCATTTTTCATTTCTAAATTATAAAAAAAATTTGATGTAAAAATCCTACTAGCATTATAAGTGCACCTCAGGAAACATTATAAAATAATAATAATAAATGTAATTCATCACCCCTTTAACCCTCATGTTGAGAGGATTTTTTTTGTTACTGTTACTGTTACTTCTCTGGAGTATAACCTGCTGACTTCGCTCACACAGGGTATAACCACCACCCAAAATTTGATGTACTTTTTAGGATTTTTTTCTTTCCACACTTCGTAACACTTGTGGTGTTCCTGGTCAAAAATGACTGGCCTACAAAAAATTGCTTGCATATTGGGTTCAAATACTGGATTCAATCTTTTTTCGACTTGTTTTCTTTCAGTTAGCACAGGTTTCGTATTTCTGAATTAATGCACCAAATATTTTGAGTGAATACTGCCAAAATTATTCACAAATAATGTTTTTTTTTTCACTCATAAACTGAGGTGTGTGAGCCATCTAGAAAACTAGATTGAATCCAAGATTTGGTGATACTATAGCTTAAAAACAGATTTACAAGCAATTTTGAAAAGGCTGGTCATTTTCGACCAGAAACAGCAAATTAGGTAAAGATTTCAGCACAGAAAAAGAGTTTAAAAACACAGCTGTATGAGTTGTAGTTGAGTGGGTCTGGCCTCACCAGGTTGTTTTTGGTCTTGGCCACATTGGGGTCGTCGGAGCCCAGTTTGTTCTCGTAGATCTCGAGCGCCCTGCGGTAATAATACTCCACTTCCTCATATTTGCCCTGATTCTGACACAACAGGGCCAGATTATTGAGCTGCTTCGCCACGTCAGGGTGGAATTTACCCAGAACCTGCAAACACACACGTGTCCTCAAAACCAGTCATAAGGGTCCATTTTTTTGAAATTGAGATTTATACATAACCTGGAAGCTGAATAAATAAGCTTTAAACCTGGAAGCTGAATAAATAAGCTTTCCATTGGTGTATGGTTTGTTAGGATAGGACAATATTTGGCTGAGATACAACTATTTGAAAATCTGGAATCTGAGGGTGCAAAAAAATCTAAATATTGAGAAAATCGCCTTTAAAGTTGTCCAAATGAAGTTCTTAGTGATGCATATGTGACTGCATCACAAAAGCAGTGTTAAGTCACTGGGGTATATTTGTAGCAATAGCCAAAAAAACATTGAATGGGTCAAAATTATAGATTTTTCTTTTCATGCCAAAAATAATTAGGATATTAAGATCATGTTCCATGAAGATATTTTGTAAACTTCCTACTGTAAATATATTAAAACTTAATTTTTGATTAGTAATATGCATTGCTAAGAACTTCATTTGGACAACTTTAAAGATGATTTTCTCAGTATTTAGATTTTTTTGCACACTCAGATTCCAGATTTTCAAATAGTTGTATCTCGACCAAATATTGTCCTATCCTAACAAACCATACATCAATGGAAAGCTTATTTATTCAGATGATGTATACATATCAATTTTTTTTTAAATTGACCCTTATGACTGGTTTTGTGGTCCAGGGTCACATATTACGAATCAAAAATCAAGTTTTGATATATTTACAGTAGGAAATTTAAAAATATCTTCATGGAACATGATCCTTACTTAATATCCTAATGATTTTTGGCATGAAAGAAAAATCGATAATTTTGTCCCATACAATGTATTGTTGGCTATTGCTACAAATATACCTGTGCTACTTATGACTGCTTTTGTGCTCCAGGGTCACATATATAATCATATAACAGCACCGGCTACCCTAGAGCAACAGTAGTTCAATGCAAATCATCTGTTCTCCACCTTCTCGCGGATCTCCAGCGCTCTCTTGCAGAGCGGCTCGGCCTCCTTGTGTTTCCCGCGTTTGCCGTACAGCACGGCCAGGTTGTTGAGGGTCGCGGCCACGGCGGGGTGATCTTTCCCCAGAGTCTTCTCTCTGATGGCCAGAGCGTCGTTCAGCAGGTGAGCCGCCTCTTTATACTTATTCTGATCCCTGGAACAACACACATATTTTCTAGTGATGCACCACAACTTCAGCAATCTATCAGGACGCTAAGCTAGGATCGATTTGCTGTTTTTACTTGGTTTTCATTTTGATGAACTGAGATCTTTCATTCTATGAATTTGTATTTGTAGCTCATCTGCCATCCAAAAAATTGCAATAAGCTTTGTGCTTTGATACTTTTGATATGAAACAAAGTCTCATCTTTCAAATTATGTGAAGTATTTAATTAAATTATATAATTTAGAAATAAAAGTAAATTTTCTACTACGATTTTAGACTTTGTCTGTATTCTTTATATATGTAAATTAGTGCTGTCAAACGATTAATCGCATCAAAATAAAGTTGTTTACATAATATATAAATACACACACATACAGTATATATTTTGAAAATATTTACATGTATATACATTTATATATATCATTATATTTTATATAAATATATTTAATATATAATATATAAACATAAAATTTTTCTTAAATATATACATGCATGTGTTTGTATTTATATATACATAATAAATATACACAGTACACATACATATATTATGTAAACAAAAACCTTTATTTTGGATGCTATTAATCGCGATTCCTTGTGCACTTACAGGATTTAAATTTTTTTTTCAAATCAAAATCTGTCATCATTTAGAAATAAAAGGCTATTTTCTACCATGATTTTAGATTTTATTCCTGCATTTATATATATATCTTAATTAGGGCTGTCAATTTAACACGTTAATTTAATTAATTAGTTATGAAAAAATAACGCGATTAAAATATTTTAACGCAGTTAATGCACTGGCCCCGTTACATTTCATGCAGTTGACTGTTGACAAATATGATGTCCATAAGTGCACTTATGCCCTAAAATTCAAGATATTGGTGCAAAAAATGAGTTGTCTCATATTTATATCATACTATATCACACAAGCAAGGAGAGCATGTATTACATGAGTGCTGATTTTGTTCCGAATGTCACAAGTTTAAATGTGATTTTATACAATTCAGTAAATAAGAAGTTGATATTGTTATATTTTAAACACAATTTGTTTTGCACAATTTTATAGAGAACATATTACCTTTTAAGCCACAGCAGAACTGTGCGTCTCCGAGCAACACAGCGGTGTTTAGTTTCTGAATGAATCTGCCCATTCAAAGCCCATTCATAAAGTGAGCCATTTACTTAATTCCTGAATGAATCAGCCATTTGAACGAATCGTGTGAATAAATGATTCAAAGCCCATGCATAAAGTGAGCCATTTACTTCATTCCTGAATGAATCAGTCGTTTGAACGAATCGTGTGAATCAATGATTCAAAGCCCATGCATAAAGTGAGCCATTTACTTCATTCCTGAATGAATCAGTCGTTTGAACGAATCGTGTGAATCAATGATTCAAAGCCCATGCATAAAGTGAGCCATTTACTTCATTCCTGAATGAATCAGTCGTTTGAACGAATCGTGTGAATCAATGATTCAAAGCCCATGCATAAAGTGAGCCATTTACTTCATTCCTGAATGAATCAGTCGTTTGAACGAATCGTGTGAATAAATGATTCAAAGCCCATTGATAAAGTGAGTCATTTACTTCATTCCTGAATGAATCAGCTGTTTGAACGAATCGTGTGAATCAATGATTCAAAACCCATGCATAAAGTGAGCCATTTACTTCATTCCTGAATGAATCAGCCGTTTGAACGAATCGTGTGAATCAATGATTCAAAGGCCCATTCATAAAAGCTGTTTGAACGAATCGTGTGAATCAATGATTCAAAGGCCCATTCATAAAAGCTGTTTGAACGAATCGTGTGAATCAATGATTCAAAGGCCCATTCATAAAAGCTGTTTGAACGAATCGTGTGAATCAATGATTCAAAGGCCCATTCATAAAGTGAGCCATTTACTTAATTCCTGAATGAATCAGCCGTTTCAACTAATCGTGTGAATCAATGATTCAAATGCCCATTCATAAAGTGAGCCATTTACTTAATTCTTGAATGAATCAGCCATTTGAACGAATCGTGTGAATCAATGATTCAAAGGCCCATTCATAAAAGCTGTTTGAACGAATCGTGTGAATCAATGATTCAAAGGCCCATTCATAAAGTGAGCCATTTACTTAATTCCTGAATGAATCAGCCGTTTGAAACTAATCGAATGAAGACATTTACCGCCGCCTGCTGGTAGATTAAGTTTCTTATATAGAATATAATTTCATAAATAATAATAATAATAATGATAACATTAAAGGGATAGTTCACCCAAAATTCTGTCATCATTTATTCAACCTTATTTGGTTTCAAACCTTTCTTTTGTGGAACATAAAATAAACAAAACAAAGCTGTTTTGGTTACCATTGACTTTCATTGCATGAACAAAAAATACTGAGATGTTTCTCAAATCATCTTATGTTCCTTAGTTTATGTTAGGCCATTGTAGTCTAAATGTTTATGCGTAAAACATTTTATGTTGAATCAAATAAAATATTTATTTCTAAAGATACTATTTGTAATGTCTACTTGATACTTTCTCATTTAACACAAAATAGCTTTAAATAATCTTTTGTGGGTATTTTCAGTCAAATGTATTTTGCGATTAATCAATCGACACATCATGTAATTAATTACATTTTAAAAAATGTAATCGACTGACAGCCCTAATCTTAATATATTCCACTTTTTAAGTGAAGATTTATCAGTTTATTAATTTAATATATCAAAGGTTTATATAAAATGCATTTCAAACGGTTTTATTTAAATTATCCACAAAAATACATATATATTTCTATTTCAAAAAGAAATATATTTTCTTGAGCTGAACTTATGTTAGTAGGTTTTTACATCAAAAACTGTCATATTTAGAAATAAAAGGCCATTTCTACCATGATTTTAGATTTATCTTCTGTATTTATTTAAATGTAAATATATTTTTAATGACATTTAATCAACTTTTTAAATAAATATCTTATATGTGACCCTTGAGCACAAAACCAGTCTTAAGTGTCAATTTTCTGAAATTATGATTTATACAACATCTGAAAGCTGATTAAATAATCTTTCCATTGATGTATGGTTTGTTAGGATAGAACAATATTTGGCCGAGATACAACTATTTGAAAATCTGGAATCTGAGGGAGCAAAAAAAATCGAAATATTGAGAAAATCATCTTTAAAGTTGTCCAAATGAAGTTCTTAGCAATGCATATTACTAATCATAAATTAAGTTTTGATATATTTACGGTAGGAGATTTACAAAATATCTTCATGGAACATGATCTTTACTTAATATCCTAATGATTTTTGGCATAAAAGAAAAATCGATAATTTACCCATACAATGTGTTTTTGGCTATTTCTACAAATATACCCCAGCGACTTAACACTGCTTTTGTGCTCCAGGCTCACATATTAAACAAAGTCAAATAAATTTGATTACGTAATTCATTATTACATAAACTTCATGTTTGGTTTTTGGCTAAATTAAATTTAAATTTCGTTAGAAAGTTAGTTATTTCAGTGCATTGCTAATATCTTCAAAAGCAGGCTGACCTGTAGACCAGGGCGAGGATGTTGAGCATGGTGGCCACGTCTGGGTGGTCGTGTCCGGAGGTTTTCTCCAGGTCCTCCAGAGCCTGTTTGCAGAGCGGCACGGCCACCTCGTAGCGGCCCTGAGATGCGTACTGGATCACCAGGTTATGAAGCGTTCGCAGACGGGCCGGGATCTCGTAGCCCCCCTGCTGCGCCGCCGCTTCACCGCTGGGCTGAGCTGGAGACACACGTCACAAATAAAGGAGCTTAACCTTAGAAAACCTGCTGCATCATATCTGATACATGACTTTCTAAAGCCTCTAAATGATCAACATTAGCAAACCTTCACTAAAAACCTGTTGCACACAACAAGTAAAAGGCCTTTTAGTATACT